CGATCCGGACGCGTCTGCGTTCCAGCAGCGAGCTATTATCGAGCTTATTGAAGCTTTTATCCGACGCTCATTCGACCCGCAGTGCCTTTCCATCACGACGAGCCAACGTCCCCCAAGTCTCTTCACTCTGAGCGGTCTTTACAACGACATCCCATCATAAGGAGGATTGAGCTCATTCACCGCGAATCCACGCATATCGGCGCCGAGGATCGGTACTCCATAATCTACGGGTGACTTCGTTTGTTGAGCGCAATCCCGATTATTAAGTGGTGACTTCGATTATTTGCTTAGCGCCGGCGCCGTTAGATTCGGTCGATCTAATCGGTTAGATGTCCGACGTCGCGCAGAGGATCTGGAGTCAGACCAGGATCAGGTAATCTCGTAGGCTCGAGAGTGCAGCAACTCCCGAATTCCGAAACGTGATTAATCATCGATATCTATCCTCCATCATTGTTGTGAGCGTTGCGCGCTGACCACTGCGGTGATCAAGTCCCAGAGTTGCATCTTTTCTCCCAAGGCCGTAGTTCTCAAGATCGTCCGCAGGTTGCGAGGATGGCAGGAAAACTCACGAACGGGCACTAATAAGTGCTTTCCTCATATAGCCCCCATCCTGAGAATCGGGTCCCAATCTTCGGAGTTCTTGGGAAGACTTCTCCCATCGGGCCTCGGCTAAGGCCTCCGAAGCGCTCTATTCAAGCGATGCATCCCGATGAGACAGGCTTCTAGATTGCGCTCCGTGGTCTTAAACGCACACTCTGTAGACTCCTAGGTGGCTTCGCACGGAGAAGCCGGGAGTTCTCGGAGGCTTGCGACTGTTCCATCGGGATTGCCCCGAAATCGGTTCCTTACGTCATGCTCGAGAGCGAACTCGATTTGTCGCGGGATCACCCGCTCCGCTCGTGAGCTGACAACGCGAACGAAGCCCCTCATCCCAGAATTACCGGTCTTTACGAATCCCTACGGCCGCGAGCCGTTGTGAAAGCTGCGCGTTCTGTTGGCACTGTGAAACGCCAGGATACCTCCGAAAACAATCTATGTGGAGTACAGGCCGGACCCCTGGGCGGCATTGCAGTGTGTGCGTTGAAGCCGGTCTCGTCGGCGCGCTCAATATCGATCCGGACCATTCATGTGAGTTCACTCGACGAAATTACCTAGAGCGAAGCCGACGGATTCGAGTGCCAAAGACTTTTTTTCACGTCCTACGATTCAGGATCTCGAACTGTCTCTGAATATTTCCTATATTCACAGAGAGCGGAGATGAATATCTTTAGCGCTATGAAGCTACTGCTGTGGCTCGCCCCCGCTGCAAGGAAGGTTTTAGATTCCGATGAGATCTCTCGGCGAGATCTGCATAGAGAACCAATCGGCCAGGTTTCTGACCAGCAGAAAGGAAACTCAGAATTCAAATCGAAAGTGGAGGCCACTGTTGAGTTATTGAGGAAGAAACTCACCGGCGATCCATCCTCGGAACAATGGAACAAGACTCTGCGTGAAGCAATAGGCGACGGAGTCTTCACGTTAGTGAGGCAGGAGGCTCACTGGTATTTCGATGGTCTCCAGAGAGAAAGAGTCCAACTCCTAGGGGAACCTCCGGACAGTTTCAAGTCCCTCGACCGTTTCAAATTTTTCGGTTTTGAAACACTTCACGTGCAATGGCTACGTGAGAAAGAAGCGTGCTCCGCTCAATATTATAGAATCCTGTTCCCCCGTGTCCAGATCAACTTCGGGTCTGTAGCACCCGAGGAGGAATATGTCTTGGATACCGATTACCTGACGAAACAGAATCACTGTGCGCGTCATAAGCGTTCCTTCAGTGAAATGTTTTACGAGTTTATGGTGTGGTGGAGCTGTGAGGATCGAAAACTCGATAGAGACACTATGGATCTATTGGCTCAAACTTCATGGTACATCGCTTATCAAATGGATATGCACGGAGGTCCGTATAGGGATCGAAATGAGTGGTGCCTATACTGTAAACGAGGCAGACTCGCGAGCGCTCTCAATTAAATTCAGCTTCGAACTTCTCATCCCATATTGCCATCTCGGACATCCTTTCACATTGAACCCAATGTCTGTTTGTAGGCCTGATCCTATTTCCGCCCAGCGTCTCGCAGAATCGTCAGGATAGTCTCATTTAGGCGACCCGACAAAAGTAAAGTCCCCGGCGAACAATGACCACTCCACGCTCGCAATATCCGTGGGATTTCCTATTCAAAAGCTGATCTACACCGTTCAACCCGAACGAAGCATTTCGAGGCTCGATGACTCTATGAGTTGACCTTCCCATGACATGACGAGATTCTTCGGTCCGGGGATGACTCTGAGCGTGAACCATCGTGTCGGTGGTATGAGAAGAACGCGTCGAGCTGCTCGAGCTCGACGAACCGCTCCTGAGTTTATATATCAATGAAGGCCGAACGTCAGATACGATTTCGCACCCATCACCGTTGCGCTGGTCTGCGCTCGATTTCCTAGACGGGGAAACATCCTGTATCTCGAGGAGCAGGATGACAGTATCTCGGCGGCTGCAGGAAGGAGCGAGTCCAAGCGCTTGGATTTAGCAGCGGACTATTTCTCGACAACGGAAAGCAAGCGATTAATCTCGACGACTGAATTCGACAGAGCCATACCATCACCGCGCAGCGCAATGTTGAGCTGTGACGGATCTTTACGCTGTGATCTCTCGAAAGCGACGCTGCGGTCGACACCTTTTTAGAAAAAGAGTGGACAAAACTTCCCAACGAAGGATGAATATGGAGTTCGGTGCAGTGACTTCCTAGTGGTGCTCTTGGTTCTGCTGGATGGATTCGTATCGGCGGGCTGGTCGGGGACGATCTTTCCTCATGCTCCGAGGGAAAGAGAAACACAGTTCAAGCTCGAACTCGGAGCTATTCTCGACTATTTATCCAAGGAACTTGTGAGACCTACCACAGACAGCGCATCGAAGTGGAAAAACGTTACACGAGTGGGGATCGGCGAACCCCGGCATCTACACGTTCCAGAAGGAGGGATCACAGTGGACTTTCAAAGGTTTCAATGGAGGACCTGTTCCTCTCTTCGGCAACCCTCCGGATTCCTTCGTAGCTTCAGAAATCCCTGAAGTTCTTCGGCTCGATGCAATTCTTTTCAATGTGAAGGGGATCGGGACGAGCTTAATCGACTCAACTTATACGGCACCATACCCACGAGTTTTGATAGAGTCCACGAACCGCAATGACTCGTAAGAGATCGTTATGGGAGACTTTTCAACCAAAATGCGATAGATCGATCGGAAGTGGGACCCATTCTTCGGAGGGCACCTGGATTTCGTTAGGTGGTGGAGCTGTGATCCTCGGGGGGCTCGACGAGGACGTTCAGGAGTTGATGGCCGAGGTGGCATGGTTCACAGCATTCCAGATGGATGTATATATAGATCCGTATCGTGATCGCATTCGATGGTGCGCTTACTTGGAGAGCCAACAGGGATCGGCACCGGCTGTATAAATGAAAAATCGAAGAAATCGAAAGTCAAGGCGAATGTGCAGTACCGAAAAAGTCGAGATTCTGCGGATAGCGTTCTTCGGCCTGTCCCCGACGAGTGAGGCCTGGGACTGTTCGGGGGCGGGTTCAACTTACGAATTCATCAGACTTTCGTGTCAAATACCAAATACAGCGGCACCGGAAGAGCTTCCCGACGAATTGATTGCAAATCGTCGGAGCCATCTTTCCAAGATTGAAGTTCCCAACAGAATACTTGAAGAAACTAATCTCCCAGTGATAGAGGACTACCTGAGCGTACTCAAGTTGAGTCATACATCCTCTCAGATCTCCGATCTCCGATACATCGCCGAGGACTGAAGCTCAGAGGTTTCAATCTAAATCGAGGGAAGTTCCGTCGACCAACTTTGGAACAGAGTTGGTAGTCTAGTTATAATAATAATACTTTATTGACACACCTAATTTGGTGTAAATATTTGGGGATTATATATGTACATGCATCACACGGGGGAATCACGGTCGAGATCACAGTCGGGACAAGTCGTCCAGCGACGGGCAGGACGGGCAAAGCTTCGCGCGGTAGCGGGTGGCCTGATGGCCGCAGAACCGGCAGAGCCGGCACCTGCAGTCGTCGTCGGGCTCATGAAACCCCTCGTTCGTGCAGATTCGGTGATGGTAACCATGGACGGCGAAACGGGTGAAGAGGTGGCGGTCCTTGAAGCAGACCTTTTTCCAGATGCCATTCCTTAACGCCGGAGTGTCCCAGAAGTCGGGGTCGATGAGGAGCTTTTTCGCGTCTTGCTCCGCCACAAACTCTTCGAATGAGTCCGTGCGGTCGAGTTCGAAGCGGGAATGGAGCTCCTCTATGAAGCTTGGCGTCTCGGCTAGCAGGTACACAAGCCGGTCCGGGAATCGCCCTCGCTAGCGAGACTTCCTCTCAATATTTCACACACTGGTTTATTTTTAACTTTTTCTATACGAACAGTCGCCCCGATGCAAGATCAGCGCCTTGCGCTTTTTTTCCATCACGTTCCTGGAACTCTCGTGACTTCACAGAGGTACCACGTTACATGCGACCATGTCATCTAGGGTCCTGTAAACGGCTGATGATCAGACAGGGAGGAGAGAGTGTACTTTCTCAAACGTGTCTCCAGATCGCTGCTTCACCGAGGGAAGTTGCGACCTCTTCGACTGCCAACGTGGAGCTCGGCATGACCCGCCGACCCTGTTCGCGTTCGAAATCGGCCCTCCGAAGGTTTTAGTGTGACAACCACGTCCTAGAGTGACCGATGTCGGGCCGTTCCCTCGCGCATCGCATCCCACCTTCCTAACAAGCATGGGCGAGTGGCGGTGATATCCGATGACCGCTTGAGACGATGATTGGCGATATCACGGCCATTCTTCCAAATCGAGGGATTCTCATCCATCATTCGTTCGATTATAATAAAGGCCGAGAGATGGGACCCGAGAAGCAGAGGGAGTTTCCTTCTGGGAACGACTTCGGGTGCGGCATACGCAAATATACATCTGGTGTGTGCTGACTGAATCGATTCCTCTTCTGTTCACTGCTTCGAATTTACTGACTCGGGAGTCCCAAATAATGTGTCTTCATCAGGGATTCGCAACCGGGGGTCGCGACCCCGAAGGGGTCCCGGGACCCCTCCTAGTTCTTTCCAGCCTTCGTCCCGAGGTTTCCTACGAGTTCTCGTCGATCATAACGACAAAGCTACGTAGTAGATTGGATGTTCACGCCGCTCTTTGTCTCGCGGTTACGGATGTTAGACCTGATCTCAAGTCGCTTGTTTGTGACAAGCAGCAGCGAACCTCACTTTAAAATTGAAGGAATAAGTATTGTACAGAGAAGCACCATAATATAATCAAAAGATGTTGTGATAAAGAAAGTCGATCTCAATTTTGAAGTACGTGTTCTTCTTAGAGGGTCGCGAGGCGAAGAGGTCGTCCGAACGGCGTCGCAGAAAAGTTTGCGGATCCCTGGTCTACACTTAACATAGACTCTACGGCTCATAGGACGGCCGACATTCCCAAGATTTCT